TTTTTTTAAATGCCAACATCTTCGTCGATGTGGTGGGCATAGTTTTCAACGGTTGCCATTGATGAGTTCAGATCATTCATTTTAAAATTTCTATTACCCATTAATTTTATGGAATCTCACTATTTTTTTGTTTTTTGTTAATTTTCTTTGAATTTGTAGGGAACCAAACGACTAGTTTTTTCTAGAGAGGAATAGAAAATGGAGAGACTAGTGTAGTGGTCAACATCATGCGCAGATAGAGGTGTTTGGGGCTTGGGAAAATGAAAAAGAAAATGCTGGAAACTAAGAGAAAAATGCAAGCAAAGTTTGAAATTATTTGTTAGTATGCTTTTTCAGGACAAAAAAGAAGTACGTTTTTCTCTTTTTTTAGTAAGAAATTGAATTTTAGATATAGGAAATTAAATTGTAATATTAAGGGTATTTTTGTTAATATGATAAATATTTTTATCCAATCTTATTTTTATTTAATAATCAACTAAATATATTATTAAATTGTAGGATTATACTATTAAGATAATTTTTTTATTTTTTTATATATAATTTTCATATATTATTAAATAAATAGATACATTTAATATCATAATTTTTAAATAAATAAAAAATTAATCATTTAAATTATATATAATATTATATAAAAAAATTGACCTTAATTTTTTTTTTTGTACACACAAAATTCATAGTTGAAATTTACCTAATCAAGTCTTAATCTTTTAATTTTCTATTCCTTTCGTTTTCTCCAATGAAAACACCTTTTTCAGCTATAAAATAAGTTTTTTAAGCATCCGAAGTTTCTAAAAGGAGTATACTTACAGACGAAGCTTTTATAGAGAGTTGGTAGGGATGATGAAGGGGTTCTGTGTCCATATTCTACCAAACGCTCCCTAAGATATATATGTATATATTCACGAGACACTGTCCCGGGGAGCTCCACTCGTGATGGCGGAGCCCACAGCGCTAAGGGTCAAGAGTAGGCGTTATCCAAACGGCATCATTCTTTGAAAAGGAAAGGTACAGGAGCCAAAGGAGGAAAGATGCGTCGTCGGTGGCGCAATTAATTAACTAGCCTCTTAATCGGCAAAAACCTACAGATTTTACTTCAATTTTTTTTAGTGTGTGAAATTTTATTTTTTATTTTATAATATATGATTTTATATCTTTTTTAATAATTAAATTTATAAATTTATATTTTTATAATATTTGAGTTTATGATATTAAATCTTCTTAAAATTATAGGACGAGAGATAAAGTTTCATATACTTAAATATCAAAAAGATAAAAAATCATATATTATAAGGTGAAGGGTAAAATTTTATACATTATAAAAGTTGAAGGGCGATCCGTGAGATTTTACCTCTCTTAATCCACACGAAAAATGCAAAATTGTTACTGTAATCTTTCTAATTATTTTCTTTGTTCATTTTTAGTAATATTAATTTAATTAAAAAAATTTAATATATTATATAAAAAATAATTAATTTTTTAATTATATAAAAAAATTTAATAAAAATTTCATATAAATTTTTTAAATTATTATTTATATAAATTATTAAATTTTTATTTAAATTTTATATTTACAATTTTAAAATTAAATTAAATTAATTAAAAATAGATATAGTACGTATTACTAATGCTCACAACCTTTAGATTGGACTACTGTATGGATAATTTTTTATTTTTTAAAAAAAATTTTGCATTGTGTTTTAATTTTAAATAATTATATAAAAATATTATGTATCCTAAATTAGTCATAATATTGGTAGTTACCAATAACTTAAATTTTAGTAATTATTTTTTTTCGTTGAAAATTATAACTTCTGAATTCAAGTCACATAACATGTGAATGAAATAAAATAAAAAATAAAAAATAAAAAATGATTGTCTTTCATTACACAATTAAAATAACAAAAAAATATATAATATTGACAGCTATTGTTTTCACCCTATAATTTATAATTCATCGTCTGAATCATGAGCTGATAATTCTTATTTTAAAATTTAAAAAAAAATAAAAAGAAAAAGAAAAACAACAGAAGCATTAAATAATTGCATAAATGATTTGGTTTGGCTTGTACTACAGTGAGGGACCCAAATACGTTTAAGAGGTGTAACGTGCAAACCTAATAA